TGACAGGAGTACCCATATATCTTTAATATTAAATACTCTAGATGATTATCTATGGAAAGTAGGCTTACATATTTAATGATGATTTATATTTACAAAATGTTGCCTAACCTTCTACCTTCATATTTTGACAAATTTGTAATTTTCAATAATCAAATCCATCAGTATAATACTAGAACAAGAGATAATTTGTATATAAATAATCAAACAAAAACGTTCAACACTAAAACATTTATTTTCAAAGGATACATTAAGTATAACAGTCTACCTGAAAATGTACAGTGTTCTGTTCAAATTAAATCTATTTAAGAGACCATTAAGGTGATACCGAAATAATATCAATTATGTTTTTTGTATTTTCAATTATCGTAGTTAAGACTACTCAGTAACGAATATCAGTAAATCTTTTTTTCTATTATTGTGTTTATATGTATTTTAATGTTAACATTATTATCATTGTTGTATATTAGGATGTATCCTATTTGAATGAAGCATATCACAGTTTCGAGCTATTTTACTTGATAGTTTCAAGGCTTTCAAACGTATTTGTAATTAATTGAATTTTGATATCGAGGTTTGCCAAATTTTTTCATCCGTGGCTCTCCAGTTCATCATTAACGTTAATGTTGCCCAAATGTGATATATTCGCATTTTTTTCGTTCCAGTTATCAATGGTGTCTAGATTTTTGACAGTCGAATTAAATCAAATCATTCATTTTCTTGAAAGGGCTGTCGATTTGAAACACTTCAGCAGAACAATCAAAAAAAATATCCTACTCATCGTCATTTGAGGTAGTTCCTATTCATTATTAGAACAGACCTGGGTTTTATTGATGAATAGGAGGACTTTTTCAGGAGGACTTTCTTTCAGTTTCTGTCTGAAAGTTACTCCTTTGCATGATCTACACATCCATGTATAGAGTTACTCATTTTCAAATTGATTACTTCCTTCCTTTCTTTGGAAGATTATCTCATCCCTTTTTTTTGTATCAGATGGAGTAGTAGAAAGCCAAAAACTTTCTTTCCCAAAAAATTAATCACTCCTAAAAATATAACCCCTTCAATTCAAATAAGATTCCTCTTGGCTGGGATTAAATCAAATAGGTGAATGAATGTCATTACGATGTCATCGATGACATAAGCAGATCAAGCTTATTCCGTGACATTCAAAATCGTAATTCATGAATGAAGTGTGTGTATTTTCTATAATGTTATCCAATTTGGTACTGAAGAGCCTTAGG